TGACAGCCCCTCAGCACAGGGACTGTGTGCTGCAGGGCAATGAGGGTGTTTTTCTTAGGATATTCTTTCATTAAACTCCTAAAATTACTTAATTTTTATAGAATGCCAGTTAACTTCATGCTTAATTTATTTTTCTAAACTAAATTACCAAATTTACTCTGTCATCCACATGTTGTATTGTATCATTTCTAGACTTCTCAAGAATTGCTCATTTGTATGCAACTTCTTGAGGAGGTGATGCTGTAATTTCATATTTTAAACAAATAACTTAATTTTGCTTCAGGTGGCTTTGCCCCTCACATGTAATGATTGCTGATGTACTGAATTTGATAGTGTGACTATTGAGACGTTCTAAAAGTCTTTCAAAAGAAATGGGCTGTGTGTCCAAAATTCATCTCACAAAGAGTTCCTCACTGACCTGTATCTACTAGAATTTTCTTAAGAGCCTTTGAATTCCCTGTTTAATTTCACAAATTACAAATGACACATAGTGTCAGCCCTTAGTCTTGCTCTGCCTGGCGGAAACTGTCCTGAGCCACTGCGATGATGAGGTTCCAGGACACTGATTAATACACAGTGAACATGATTCTAAAGAAGGTGATACATACATCCATTAATCTGTTCTGTGTTCTATTCATTGAACAATCATTCCTTACAAAATTTTAAGGTAATAGAAATTCCCAAATATAATTTTGTTTGAATAAAGTTTTGGACAAACTTTATTCAACCCCACCCTGACCTCCTGTCTCTACTTGGTTTTCAGATTTTCCCCAAATTTTGTCCTTTCATGAATCTTTGTGAAGAGATGAAGGGAAGATGCTCACTTCTCTTGTCACCAAGCCAGCAGCGTGCTGGCAGGGAGGTCAGAGGTGCTTAGTAGAAAACCCAGGCTCTCTTATCAGTCATCCCTGGGTCATGAGGGAATCAGGCTGTGCCACAGCATTGTACAGGAACCAGTGTTGATGGCTGGAGACTGCAGAGAACTCCTCTAGGGCTTCTTGTTTCTCTATTTAAAATATGTATTTCTTTCTACTGAATTTATGGAGAGAATTTTAATAGTGGTTATTATAAATGTTCTAACTGCAGATGTGACTCTAAGCTGAACTTCACCATTCTGTCCATGCACAAACTCGGTGGACAATCCCTCACTGTTTTCAGAGCCAGCTGCCAGGCCTCACGAACCCTCCTGTTTGTTCACAGCAGTCCTGGACAGCAGCTACTTCACTGCATGCCTGAATAGAGCATCTACACCTAGCTGATACCTGCTTAGAGCATCTACACCTAACGGATGCCTGTTTTGCCCCCAACATGGTGCAGCTATGTCTCCCTAGTGCCCCTACTTTTCCAATCAGAATGGTACCATAGGCAGGGCAGGCCACATTGAACTGCAGTTCAAACCCAACCACATAAAAAGCAGCACCAAGTTGCTCCTGAGGTCCAGCCTTCGCTGCTGACCCTCAATGATGAAGTAGCAAGATTTTCTTTGCTACTTCTTTCTACTTTCTTTCTTTGCTACCATAGATTTTCCATTTGGGCATGCTTTCTAATCTGCCTGCATAGCACCCCCACCCCTGTGCCGGTACATGAAATTCCCAGGCGTGGATTACCCAAACGTGACATTTCAGAAACTCGTGCTCTGTCCCCATGATCTGCTTCCCTGCAGCAAAGGCAGAAGAGTGAGATTTTCCAATGTGTAATATGTAGTCTTAGCCCAGGGCATGTGGCTATGCAAGGGCCAGCTCAACAATTCATCAAGCAAATGACACATACACATGAAATAAAAATGAAGAAAGTTTTAAGTCATTTTTTAAAATTGATGAATTAGCTCAGAAGTCATTATCTGCCTTTCTTTTAATGATCCATGATATTTGCATAAATGAGCCATGTTTGCTTGAGGGACATGATTGCTGACCAGTTGTCTGTGTTGGGCGACTATAGAATGCCAGTCTGTAGCCTCTCCTGGTGCTGTATCGAGAAAGGCAACTAGGTGCCCACAATGGCATCAGAGTATGTCTGAACTTTACTCTGGAAAAAAGGGCTAGTTTTTTCCCTTGCTGTCTCTATAAATTTAACTTGGAGGAAAAGCTTTGCAGCGGTTTCTAAGCGATTACAAAATAAATCCACAGTCAATGGTCGTTATGGTAAGTTCACAGCACCCATGTACCCCTTTCCCTTAAGTTAGTCACAACACACTGAAAATGACAGCATTCAGCTCCTTTGATTCATAAGAAATTAAAGCTTGGTGTTGGATGAGGTTTATATTGCTTGGTCTGTAAATCTCGTGTATTTAAAATAAGGCAAAATGCAGAGAGCCTGTTTTTCTCAGAAGTAATATGAGTAGAGGCAGTATTAGAATTGTTCCTAAACAGTAGTTATATTTTGCAGGCCCAAAGTTACTCTCAAGATATTATCAGTGTATAATATACACAATCAAGATGTTATCAATATGTATTTACCTTTTATTAAACTAATATACTAAAATAGATGCATGCCATATATATATATATATACATATATATATATGTATATATATATATGTCAGTGTCACAGAGTAAGAGATGGGCGTGTCCTAATGATCAACCATGCCCCATTGAAGACTGGACACAGATGAACATCTTTGATTGACGTCTTTGCTGGGCTTTTCATGGGAGCAAACCCACTGCACTGAGCCAATGGCTGGAGAAGACAGTGTCCTGTTGCTGATGCTATTACTGTGGAAAGATAAGCTTTTCTTCACTGAGATGCACATTGTCAGTTTCAGACAAATACTGTCTGTTCTCAGTCAGTGTGGGAAATGAAGTTGATTATACAACGGTAGCGAGAAGAATGGTGGTCAGTCAAGGCCAGAAAGAATGTGGGATTGGACAGAAGTTAGATGCAGAACAGAAGGCACATTGGCGTAGGGTCATGACACTCGTGCCTTGTAGCACTGCAGTGTGACCATAGCCCACAACTGCTTGTACATTTCAAAGGAGTCTGAAGGACTGAATGATGCAAAATGCATCAAACGGAGGGAAACACGAGTCGGATAATCCCACACTAGCTCCAAATAGGGTCTATTAAGGTTTTTCTTTATTAAAAGGGAAAATTCATGGAACAGGGATGGGGTCCAACATTCATGTGTGGAGCATGGGAAGAGAGGGGTGAGTGGGCGGGACCGTGGCTTTTTGATACCCCAAAGCCTTGCCTTAGCCTGGTCCAGCATCTCAAAGGCCATTGGCTGAAGGAGGTTCCCCATAAACTGAGGTCACACACAGAGAGCAGTGACAGTATTTGGGGAGGTGGACACTGTCCTGACTGTAGTCAGAACAGGATACAGAGATGTGCTGAACTATGATACAACTGCACCCCGTGTCTAAGTATCAGTCAATGCTAATAACAATGGGCTGCAAAGACACAGTTCAAGGTTTTCACCATGCATCTACCCAGTTGTGAAACATGTAACATGTTCATGAGTAGTAAACACATCCCTCTTCTCTGAGGGACTTATGGGTCTCTAAGTACAAGGGCATAGCATGAACTATGTGACAGCAACCATACAAACTTTAACTTTCTGATACATTCCTCCATATGTGACTGGAAAAATTACAGCAACATGCTCTTCCTGCTGAAGAGGTTTCATAATTCTGTTATAAGTATTCTATTAGCCGGGAGGTAGTGGCATACGCCTTTAATCCCAGCACTCGGGGAGGCAGAGGCAGGTGAATCTCTGTGAGTTCGAGGCCAGCCTGGTCTACAAGAGCTAGTTCCAGGACAGGCTCCAAAAGCTACAGAGAAACCCTGTCTCAAAAAAAACAAAACAAAAAAATCTGTTAGAAGAACATAAACATGTATCTTAAATTGTTTTGAATTTACTTATTTTAAGCGTGTGGGTGTTTTGCCTGCATGAATGTCAGTGGATTCTGTGTATGCAGTACCCACCAAGGGCAGAAGAGGGCGTATAAACTTGTTTTTAAATTTTTTTAAAAAACGTATTTTGAATGGTTTACCAGCTTTTACCTCTGTGTGCTACATGCAGGCAGTGCCCATAGAAGCCAGAGAGGGCATCGGATTCCCTGGGACTGAGTTACAGACAATTGTCTCTGCAAAACCCAGTCTTCTGCAAAAACAGCCAGGGCTCTCAGTCACGGAACCATCTTTCCAGCACCAACATGTATTTTATAGGAAATATTTCATCAAACATCTTCATCAAAATTTCTGGTATAAATTAAAACTTGCTTACTTTAATTTTTAAATTATATAGGTGTAGGCATTGTATGCACATGAGTGCGGGTACCACAGAGGCCAGAAGAGGGCATCAGACTTCCTGGAGCTGGAGCTTCAGGTGGTTGTGAGCCACTGGACTTAGGGGCTGGGAACTGAACTCAACTGCCCCGCTTAGCAGCAAGTGCTCTTAACCTCTGAATCGTTTCTCCAGCCCCGTCTCCCTGCTCTTGACTGCAGATGTGACCTTACTAGCTATTTTGGGTTCCTGGCTTCACTTCCCCTTAATGATAGACTGTAACCTGAGAGTATAAGCCAAACGAACCCTTTCCTCCCCTATGCTGTTTTGGATAGGGTGTTAAATCACAACAACAGAAACTAAACAAGAAAACGTTCCATGATGCCTCAGTAAAAGCTTTTACTTTTACTAAGAAGTATACTTTTAGTAAAAGTATACCTGGCAGGATGACAAAGACCGAAACCATGTATCACAATGTCCCTGAAAACCTCAAAACGAGGCAATAGTAAGAAGCATGTCTATAATATGTGATCATTTTAATGTCAAGGAACTTTAGGCAGGGAGGGAGCCCATCAATGTGCTCATAATCCAGTCACGACTGAAAATGATGAGGCATTGGGCTGCAGGGAGACTTGAGTACTGAGGGGAGTACTGGGCTGGATCCATCGGTTTTCCTAATGGCAATAGCACTGGGTACCAATGATGCTGCTATCGTTTGTATGAAAACTTTCTCTCATTTTTTTCCTCAGATACTTACTCTAGCTCTGTGTCCCATACAATGAGAAGAATCAACATACTCTATGGAGTTGTTAACATACAAAACACATTTTTTCTCTGAATTAGGCTTTGGGATTTCATTCAACAGCATCCTCCTCCTCTTCCATATCCCATATCCTCGAGTTTCTTCTAGAACACAGGCCCCGGACCACTGACCTGTTCATTGGTCTCTTGGCCCTCATCCACCTTGGGATGCTAATGATCATGGGATTTACAGCTGCGGACACTTTCGCATGTCAGACTACATGGAATGACATTACGTGTCAATCCCTTGTCCACTTGCACAGGTTTTGAGTGGCCTCTCTCTTTGTGCTACCTGCCTGCTGAGCGTCCTCCAGGCTGTCACCCTCACCCCCAGAAGCTCCTGTTTGGCGAAGTTCAAACATAAATCCCCACAGCACAGCCTGTGTCTTCTTCTCGTGCTGTGGGCCTTCTACACGTCCTGTGGTGCTCACTTCTGGTTCTCCTCTGTTGCTGACTACAACATCACCTCACATGAGCTCTTATTTGTCACTGACTCCTGCGTTATTTTACCCATGAGCCATATCAGCAAGCACTTATTTACCATAATGAGGATATTTCGGGACATCTCCTTTATAGGTCTCATGGCCCTCTCCAACGGGTACATGCTGATTCTCCTGTGCAGGCACAAGAGGCAGGTCCAGCATCTTCACAGCACCAGCCTCTCTCCAAAAGCCTCTCCAGAGCAAAGGGCCTACCAGACCATCCTGCTGCTCCTGAGCTTCTTTGTGCTGATATACTGTTTGGACTGCATCATCTCTGCCTCCAGACTGATGCACAGCAGCCATCCAATCCACCACAGTGTTCAGATGATGGTCTCCAATAGCTACGCCACCATCATCCCTTTGCTGTTAATTTGTACTGAACACCGAATTACTAACTTCTTGAAATCCTTTGTACGGGGACATAGTAAATGCTTAATTATTGAGGCGAAGGTGGGTTCACTTAAGGAGCCAACCTTGATAGCTGCTGGATGGTAAATCCTGGCCTAGGGCTCATGTGTCTCCGGATTAATGAACATATGACTCACACTTCGTTAAAGCTGCTTCCTTTGAAATATGGATGACCAACACCTCTAGGTATTTAGTGAGTGAAATTCTTTCTGTGCATTTCTGCTTGATGTCAGTAGGGAAACCTGCGCGACTTTAACAGCTTAGGGTAACCTGCGTGCTTATCAATAAGCTAAAGTATACAGCACTTTTTAATAAGTCAATCATGTCAACACTTTGAATCTTGCCTAATTCAATATGTAAACATTGCCATAAACTAGCCTATTCTCCATCAAAAGTTCTAATAATCATACAAAGTAATTGATTCAGCGTCTCGGATGCTTGTTTGTTCATAGTCACAGCACCTAACAAATGTCAAGTGAAATGTCAGCCACAAACTGGCAAGCATTCTATAAATCTGCACGTAGAGGGTGGAATTGAGAGTCCTGTAATTTCTCAATACAGAAAAGTGCAGTGGTGTTTGCCAAGGGCTGAGAAAGCGCAAAGCCAGGAATTCCCAATTGGTGTAGAATGACCATTTAGAAAGCAAAAAACACTAGATGTCTGAGACCAAATAAAAGGAGGTGTGGGGGGAGGGGATGAGGGCGCTTGCCACACAGGCATGAGGACAGAACTTGAATCTTCAATGACTATGTAAAAGCCAAGCAGGATGTGAGTTCTTGAAATCCCAGCACCAAGGGGCGAGACAGGTAGAACCCTAGAGCTCACTGACCATCTAGCCTAGCCAAATTGATGAGGCCCAGGTTCGGCGCAGGCTTTGCCTCTGCGAGAAAGGGGTGCTGGGAAGCTGGTTAGGTGGGTAAAGCACCTCTTCCAGGTGGCTCTGACCATCCATTTACTCTCTCTGGTCTTCCGATTTGGTTCTGATGTGAAGGGTGCTGTCCTCCTGGCTTGAGAAGGGGGTCTGAGAGCTTCGCTGGAATGGAGCAGCAGTACCAGGGCTTTACGGTGGTTTATGCTTTTGCCAAGGATTGTCCCTCCTTCAATGACAAAGAGCCATGTGTGCAAAGGGGCTGTACCCTCAGGCCAGCGCAGAGTTTCTGCCAAGAGCTGAGCTCTCTGGGGACGGTTGTGGTCCTGGGTTGGTGATCCTGCTGAACCTACTGTGCTTATGGCCTTCGGCTTCCCTAGAAGAAGCTGACATCATCCCCAGCTTAGCCACCTCCTACTTGGCGGTGCGCAGGACCTCACCAAATCCGGAGGTGGACCCACCCAAGCTGAGCATGTGGCTGAACTGGTCCTCAGTGGTCCCCGCCGAGTGGAATCCCTCTTGGAGTGGCATTAGGCACCCTGAGACCGTCCGTCGGTGCCATAGGTGCCAGGGACTCACTGTAGTGATAGCCTCGGCATAGAGGCACAGGCAGTTTGCAAACCCACTGCAGCCTCTGCTGTCCTGTGAAGAGCACGCCCCCCACCCAGCTCTCCACCGCCATCTGATAATGTGGGGCTCCCCCTGTGGGGCTCTGGAGCAGTGTTGGGTCTGGGTGAGTGTCCCCCTCACTCCGCATAGGGGACAAACTCGCAGGTTGTAGTAAACAAGTGAATTGGGGTGGATGAGAGAGGCAGGTCCCTCTCCCCGTGGCACTGGACTTTGAGTTGTTAAAACCACTGTTATGGTCAAGTTCTTCCTGTAAGCTCTGCCTTCTGGCATTGGGTTTCTGTGAATCCATAAAAGAGTCCAGGAATGCACAGAATGGGAAAAGATCTTCACCAACCCCACATCAGACAGGTGGCAGATCTCCAAAATAAACAAAGAACTCAAGAAATTGCTCATCAAAAGAACAAATAATTTAACAACAACAAAATAAAAAATAGGGTACAGACCTAAACAGAGAACTCTCAACAAAGGCATCTCAAATGACTGAAATGCTCAACATCTTTAGTCTTTAGAGAAATGCAAATCAAAACAACTCTGAGATTCCATCTTACACTCCTCCATTGCTGGTGGGAGTGCAAACTGATACAGCCTCTTTGGATATCAGTACTGCGATTTCTCAGAAAATTAGGAAGCAACCTTCCTCAAGACCCAGCAATACCACTTTTGGGTATATACCCAAAGGATGCTCAATCATACCACAAGGACATGTGCTCATCTATGTTCATAGCAGCATTATTTGTAATAGCCAGAACCTGGAAATAATCTCAATGCCCCTCGACCAAAAAATGAATAAAGAAGATGTGGTACATTTACACAATGGAGTGCTACACAGTAGAAAAAAAAATAATGACATCTTGGAATGTGCGGCCAAATGGATGAATCTAGAAAAGATTAGACCCAGAAAAATAAATATAATATGTACTCACTCATAAGTAGCTTTTAGACATAAAGCAAAGAAAAACCAGCCTACAATTCACAATCCCAGAGAACCTAGACAACAAAGAGAGACATACGTAGATCTAACATACATGGGAAGTAAAAAAAAAGACAAGATCTCCTGAGTAAATTGGGAGCATAGGGACCACAAGAGAGGGTTGAAGGGAAGGGGGAAGGAAGGGAGGAAGCAGAGAAAAATATATAGCTTAATAATTTAAAAAAAAAAAGAGTCTGAGGATGGGGCGACTGCTGACAGTTACTGTACTCTGCCTGGATGCTCTGCGCAGGTTGGTTAATCAAATGAGCTTATTCCAGCACCAGCTATTGGAAACACGTGTGTGCGTGCACAAACTTGTTGGGCGCTGCAGCTAGTAACTTTGTTCAAGTTACTTCTTCCCTCAGAGGCTGGGGAAACAGAATCTGATCCACCTTAAGATCCAGAGACGCGTGAAATGTGACCAGCTGTTCCGGAACTGACTGCAGACGTTCTTTTTGGCAGATACATGCTAGCCTAGAGTCTCTCTCTCATTTGCAACTTCTATTTGGGTCCAGGAAAGGGGCATCTCCCGCGACAAAAGTGCCTGTTACATCTTTTTTTTTTCCTCAAAGTTTATTAAAATACAAAAGTCTCCATTTCCGCCCCTCCTCCCAACCCCCTCTCCCTCCCCCCACTCCCTCTCCTCCTCCCTCTCCATTCCCAAGAGCAGTCAGGGTCTCCCACCCTGTGGGTAGTTCAAGCTCTTCCCCCCTCCCTCCAGGTCCAGGAAGGTGAGCATCCAAACAGACTGGATCTCAGAAATCCAGTATATGCAGAGGAAACAAGTCCCAGTGTCATTGTCAATGGCTTTTCAGAAAGACTCCGGGCCAGCCACATTCAGAGAATCCGGCCTCCTTCACAGAATCTGGCTGGATCACGTGCTCGCTCAGTCCCAGTCAACTGGCCTTGGTGAACTCTCATTAGATCAGTCCCCTTGTATCAGTGGGTGAACGCACCCCTCGCGGTCCTGATTTCCTTTTTCATGTTCTTCCTCCTTCTGCTCCTCATTTGGACCTTGGGGGACTCCGTCCGGTGCTCCAATGTGGGTCTCCGTCTGGATCGCCATCCATCGTAGGATGAAGGTTCCCTCTGATCTTGCCTTCCTTGCTCACGTTCTCTTTCCTTCTGCTTCTCGTTTGGACCTAGGGAGTTAAGTCCAGTGTTCCAATGTGGGTCTCCGTCTCCATCTCCATCCATCGCCAGATGAAGGATCTATGGTGATAACCAAAATATTCATCAGTTATGGGCCAAGGCCAGTTCAGGCACCCTCTCCTCTGTCCAGAGAACAATCTGGGGATCTCTCCTTGGACCTGGGATCCCATTTATAATCAAGTCTCTAGTAAACCCTAAACTGACTCCCTTAGTTGAGATATATTCTTCCCTGATCCCATATTCATCCTTCCTCCCTCCCCCCACTCCCACTCCCCCGAGCATTCCCCATTCCTCCCCTGCTCCCTTCTCTCTAACCCTCTCCCCTTCCAACAACCCTCCTACCCCGCCCCCATGCACCCGAGGTTACCTGGGATAAGGCAAACCAAGCATTACACCAGGGCAGGAGCACGCATGGCTCTATGCTTTGTCGCCACCTGCTGGAGACAGAAAGAAAGATCACCTCAATCCCAAGGCAATAATAGCTAACTACTAAATAACTAATAAATAACTACTAAATCACTGTAGTAGTAGTTGTTACTAAGGGGTGCTAAGCGGGCGGCAGCTGACCACGCCCATAAGACCCCGCCTACTCTGTGAACTCGGCACTAATGCCTCAAATTCGGGCATTAATTATCTCTGTATTCTTGACAAAGTGACTCGCCTCTCTTTTCCTGCTCATTCAAAACTGGAATAATATGGTTCTAACCTCCTTAGGTTGCTGTGAGGGCTGAGATGCTGTCACGTGAGGCATCTGAAGAGTGAGGTTATGGGATCCACAGCTGCCTCACGGTGCGACCACTGACCTAGAAAATCATGTTCAAGGCTGTACTTGTCAGGTCGCCTACATAGGCTGTACTTCCCACTTGTAATTGGTTGTGTGTATGATTTTTAGAAAAACACAGATTACAGCTGAAAAAAATTATTGAAGTACCTGGAGCTGCTGGAAGCCCTGGGCTGGGCAAACGAATGACTGAGGGAGAGACACACACCCGCAAGGGCAAAGTCAGGGAAATAACAGGAAGTGAGGCAGAGTGAGTCCATGCCTTCCTGAGGAGGACATGAGCTAAGTCTTGAGGCTGTAAAAACTCCATGAAGATTTACTATGTCTATTTTGGAAGCCACATTCCCCAAGCCCCTTGCAGACCCCAGGTTTCCTACAGCGCATACCCTGATCTCTGGTGCCACCATGTGGTAGGAAGGGGGAACAGCAGGAGGCGCGGAAAGGTTCAGGTGTCCAAGCTCCTTGGTCAAAACATCATTTTGGGTCGCTGTCAGTCTCTTGAAATGCTGACCATCAGAAGATGGGGCAGTCTAAGAGAAGTCCTAGGTCATGAACTTCCCTAGGTTCTTCTGTGCTGGAGCGATGTCTGGGTAAGAAGGTTTGCCCTCACTTCTCTGGCATGTTCCTCCTGGCACAGAGGCAGGAGCTTCTGACCAGTGACACACAGTGGGTCTGTATCCTTCGTG